TCCATGTTCTCATTCTGTTTACGCCAAATTCTGACTCTACCATCTGAATGCCTCAACAGAAATCGAGACTCATCAGACCAGGCAACATTTTTCCAGTCTTCAACTGTCCCAGTTTGGTGAGCTCTTGCAAATTGTAGCCTATTTTTCCTATTTGTAGTGGAAATGAGTGGTACCCGGTGGGGTCTTCTGCTGTTGTAGCTCATCCGCCTCAAGGTTGTGCGTGTTGTGGCTTCACAAATGCTTTGCTGCATACCTCGGTTGTAACGTGTGGTTATTTCAGTCAAAGTTGCTCTTCTATCAGCTTCAATCAGTCGGCCAATTCTGGATATTTTGTCCCTTTACACACCATTCTTTGTAAACCCTAGAAATGTTTGTGCGTGAAAATCCCAGTAACTGAGCAGATTGTGAAATACTCAGACCGGCCCGTCTGGCACCAACAACCATGCCACACTCAAAATCGCTTAAATCACCTTTCTTTCCCATTCTGACATTCAGTTTGGAGATCAGGAGATATATAAATATACGTGAAATATATATAAATATACTATATAAATGAACGTGACTTGACTATTAACTCAGATCAATTTGTGGACATGAAAATACAGACATTGACATTGAGCTCAGACAATTCAGTATTGTATTTGGATCCCCCAAAAATGCTTTTTGGCACTAAATGATGGAGAGAAAAAGACGTTTATCAGGAATGTCTGTTTTCAAAGTACACACCAAATAGTGAAGAACAATTACATTGTCATAACCATCAATATGCTAAAAGTTTTCAGAGAGCTGTCATGATTGAGCTAAGATTATTCAAGTGCTCAATCGTCAAGATCAAGAAAACATTGAGAGCTCCACATTGTGCCTGTCTGCTTTTCAATCAACAAACAAATGCATAATCTTGCGCAATCTTCCCAAGAGTTTTCATGTATTCCTTTTGATTTCATTTCAGGTCACAAGTAGACATGAAAGCATTGCTTATTGAACATCTGTTTACTTTCGTCCTGCGTTTAGATATACAACACAATGGTATAGTGTGATACAAGTAAATACATATTATTGGAAAAAGTTGCTTGATGTTTTTTTTGTTTGTTGGCGCACTACTGTGCACATGAAGATGACATGTGACTCACGTCCAATCACGTGGAGTAAACCACTGAGAATGCCAGCTGGAGAGGACAAGACAGGACACAAGCTCATTGACTCAGAGAGGGTGTGTGTGTGTGTGTGTGCTGGTGCATCTGTCTGTCTGTGTACATACACTACAAGAGGTGTGAGTGAAGCAGTGAGCTTCTCATGCTATCACGCTTCTTCACATGAGATATGACACGTGTACGAATGTTTTGTGGATATTATTATGGTTTATTGTCAAAGTCTGAATGAATATTATTTCTGTTTTAATTAATTATTCTTACAGGCCAGAGCTTTCTCAGGGAAAGGTGTAATACTCTTCATTACAGGCAGTCGATCTCTCTCTCTCTCATTCACAAATACCTGTTGTGCTTCAGTTTGACGAGGTGAGAACTTCACTGTGAGTCATATTGATATTTGTGTCTAAGATGATAATGTGTGGGACTTTTCAAGGTGATCCATCACTGAATGGGTGAAATTGATTACAAGCTGATTTATGGGTACGGAGAGACTTTGGGAGAAACTGTTACTGCAGGATGTGCAAAATAACAATGTACACGGATCATGAATGTTTGCACCTTTTGTAGTGTTGTATGCTCTTATGGTCACTGCATTTAGGATCGAAAATACAGAAAAACACTGTTATTGTTCAATTTTGTTACAATTTAACTTCTATTTTAAGAAAAGTATCATTTAAAATATAATTTATTCATCCATATATAGAGAGAGCAGCAGTCAGGATCTGGGACAAGTTGAAGCTTTCCGGAAATTCCGAGTAGTAATGGTGCGTTCACGTGCTATGGAAAATAGGATATTTTCCACTTGTGAACTGGTATTTACCAGTGTGTTGCATTCAAGTGCTTTTGTTGTCGTAATGTGGTAAAAAGATGGAGATCCAGACCTGGTATTTAGCTAAAACTATTATAGATTGCTTAAGTCATCTGCTACAGCAAGAAGATGATTTATCAAAACTCAAAAGGTAAAATAATATGCTGTATATTTTCTAGATCATGAATCGTACATATTTTTACCATTCACGACTCTCGCGGTGCTCTCCGCCATTTTGAAAAGGTCAAAGGTTATCTCATCTCAGCAACTCGTCCATCAAAATATGACGAAGTGTTCTACCCGACAGTAGAAACAAGCAGTACTATAATGACAAACGGCAATCCACAAGAACACCTTAGCTCAAAGGAAAAAAAGAAAGACACAACAAAAACAGCAAATAGAAAAAATCCCTGATGGCCTACTAGAAAATCCAAACCAGGTGGAAGTTCAACAGTGGTCACTGAACTACATTCCTCTAAACTTCAGACCAAGACGAGGACCCAGGCTTTTGGCTTTTTCGAACGCCAAGAACACGCACAAAACAAATATGCGAAGTGGTAAAACCAAAAAAACAAACAATCCTCTTCCTAGGAGATTCAAATCTCTCTCGCAGTGGCAGCTAAATGGGGCTGTCTCATATTTAGCATTTTCAATAGTCTGGTAACCATCGGGCAGGTCTTTCAGCATTGTGGCATGCTCTTCCTCAAGACATCTGTCAAGCATCCACCCTTCTCTCCATCAAAAACATCTTAAAAACACTCTTCAGCTCACAATATTTAAAGGTTCCATGACATGCTTATTTTTGTATTTTCTGATTATTGTAAGTAACCTCTAAATATTACTTTCTGCCATCTTTGATGTTGAGTTTTTTTTTTACATTTCTTAACCTATATTATAAAGCGACCTAGGGTAACGTATCGCACCGTCACACCGGTCTCGCATCTCTCACGAAGGAGCGGAAGCATAAATGGGGAGGTATTTTGTTTGTTTATTTCATTTAAATAAAGTTTTATTTTGATTGTTATCCGGTACCTGCCTCCTTCTTCCTTAAACCTTTCTACAATAGGCCTACCACATAAAACAAAACAGAAAAAAACAGCCAGAAACCCAATTAGTTACCCTGAAATTCGGAACAAATGATCGCGAACAAGGAAATGTGACAATCCAGGGCAAAATGATCGAGAGAATAGCCTAGGAGCACTAAAACAATTCCCATCAGCAACAACATTATCTCAGTTAATAAACTAGACAGGAAATTACCCACACACATGAAAGAAAACCTGGACTTTCTGAATCAGATCCTAAAAAAAAAATAAAAAATAAATCACACAATGCATCCCCACAAAATCAGGACAACACCAGTGGATGGACCAAGGAAACGGCCTCCCCGCCATACATTGGTTAAAATTCCTGAAAATAGAAGAAAACGAGAAAACACATTTCGAAATTCGTAATTCCGAGATGGTGTAAAAGCACCTCAAGAAAGGCTTGCTATATGCTGTCAAAATACTTCCATTTTTTATATGCATATTTTACAATAAACTTAAAATATATTTAAATTAACCTTTTTTTTTTTGTTATCATTCGCAATGTCTTCAGTGATCCTTCAGAAATAATTCTAATATGCTGTTTTGGTGCTCAAAACATTTCTTATTTGGAATGTTGAACAGATCCAATCTCGAATCTCGATCGATCCAATGGCGGCATTCAATCAACGGCAGCGCGTAAGGTCTCTGTTACTATCTCTCCGCGTGGCAAAGTAATTTGATGAAATGAAATACATTTTCTCACGTATTATCTCGCTATTTCATCCGACTCCATAAATGAAAAGATTTTAATGATATCTGTAGGCTAAATCATTAAATGTGAGCGAATGTTTGACTATTCGTACTTTGAGCTGAAAATATGTCACAGCCAGTTAGAAAATCAAATATTTACAATTTATAATGTCGGGTAAATGTATCACGTCAATTTTATTATCAATTCAAAGATAATCAATACAATAACATCAAATTAGTAAAAAATGTAGGTTAAATCTGACATTTAGAAATAGCCTACAATCTACATCACGGGCTAATTTTAGTCACAAACCGTCTCGCGGCTCTCGCTGCATTTCATTATGACAGAAACTTCTACATGTGTTAATGGAAATTTGGATTCAGAGGTTACACCTTTTGAGAGAAGGAGACCATCTGCCTGGAAGACACTTTCAAACTCTTAAGAACTATTGATTGCACTCTAAAAATGCTGGGTTGTTTCAATCCATGTTTGAGTTGGGTTTGTCCATATTTGACCCAAACATGGGTTTAAACAATCCAGAATTTTTTAGAGTGTACACTTGTTTAGGTGCTCAAAACATTTCTTATTTGCAATGGTGAACTGGGTTTAATATAGGCCTAAAAAATGTGATAATTATTTTTCAGAATGAATACAAACGTCAAAAGAACAATATGTATGCCTATTTTGAAATATGTTTTTTTGTAACATTGTAAATGTTTTACTGTGAATTTTGATCAATTAAATGCATCCTTACTGAATATGAATTAGTTTCTCAAAAAAAAAAAAAAAAAAAATTACCCCAAAACTTCAATAGGCCTATAGGCTAGCCTACACATAATTCATGAAACTCCAATTATGTACACTCTAAAAATGCTGGGTTGTTTTAACCCAATTTTGGGTAAAATATGGACAAACAAGCCATTGGGTTACAAATGTAATTTAAAAATGTAACCCAATGGCTGGGTTTGTCCTTATTTTACCCAAAATTGGGTTAAAACAACCCAGCATTTTTTAGAGTGTAAGATGTCAAATTATTGTAGGCTAATTGATTTAATACTACATTGATCTAAAACACATTTAACAACATTTAACTCCAACTTGACATTTAAGAAAAATGTCCTGATTTCACAGTTTAACATTAATCCCATTTGGCTAAGCAGCTAACAAAAAAATGGGTATAGGCTACTTTTTGACTTTAGGCCACTTTGTCTAAAGATACGTGCGTGCGCGCGCACTCTCTCTCTCTTTCTCACGACTTATCCACCCACCCTCAGGTGAGATAGTAGAGATGCAAAGCACATCTTTCTCACACACATTTATGTTTGTTTCTCCAGTGTTTAACTTTCATTCGTTTTCTCCATACAAACAAACTTCGTTCATGTGACGTTTATTATTTCAGGAATTATATAACGTCTTCATAGCAAAGTTAACTAAGTTTCTCTGAGCAGCAGGGAAGTTTATTTTTATTTTATAGATTTGGGCATCGCTTCTGCGCCGAGCACGATTGCGCGTAAATCTCAGCGCGAGGCGCGCCCGGTGCTGTCGAGACTGGGCGTCAGAGCGCGGGTGCTCGCCACGGGAGTGTTGGGTGTCGTCATGGTGCTGGGGCTGGTCATCCTCATCCCGGTGCTGGTCAGCGCGGCAGGATCGGACCCGCGCTACGAGATGCTCGGCGCGTGCCGCATGGTGTGCGATTCGTCCGGAACGAAGTCTCCATCATCAGCACCGGCGGACAACAGTTTAGTTCATTCCCCGCCAACTTTCATCCGCGGTACAAAAGGAGAGCCAGGGCGCTCAGGAAGGATCGGTCCGAGGGGTCAGCCGGGTCCGCCCGGACCTCCAGGTCCCCCGGGGGTCATAGGAGAACCAGGGCCACCTGGATTACCCGGTCCGCCCGGAGTCACCGGTGTCATAAGCGCAGCGACGTACAGCACCGTCCCCAAAATCGCCTTCTACGCAGGGCTCAAGAAGCAACACGAAGGATACGAGGTGCTGAAGTTTGATGATGTGGTCACTAACTTGGGCAACCACTATGACCCCTCGAGCGGTAAATTTACCTGCTCCATCCCGGGGATCTACTTTTTCGTGTATCACGTATTAATGAGAGGCGGTGACGGGACGAGCATGTGGGCTGATCTGTGCAAGAATAATCAGGTATTTCATAAACCCAGCTGTCAGTACGCAGGTCTTATTATAGCCTATTTATTTTATGCAGCATGCAGTCAACGAATCGATTTTGGTGCATAAGAAACAAACTTAACTGTATATATATATATATGAAGAGTTCAGATGCAAAAGCCTAAATGCCATTTGAAATTTTCTTCTTTAATGATGATTTTTATGAAACTTGTATATTTAAGTTCAGTAATTTCACTTAAATGGCAATGATAATTACCTATTAATTGTTATTTAAGTGAAATTACTGAACTTAAATATACAAGTTTGCTAAAAATTATCATTAAAGAAGAAAATTTCAAATGGCATTTAGATGCTTTTGCATCTGAACTCTTCATATATATATATATATATATATATATATATATATATATATATACACAATGTTTTAAAATAAGTTTAGTTAAAAATTAGTTTACACTTCACTATATATATACATATACATATACTGTATATATATACATATATATAGTAGTCAATATATATATATATATATACTTTGTATATACATTTGTCAATATATGTATTTATATATATATATATATATATATAGACATATATATATATATATATAGACATATATATATAGATAGATATAGAAGTCAACAACCTTTCATCAAAGTTATACATGAATTTGAATAACCGGTCCTTTGATGAACTTTATATATATATATATATATATATATATAATGTTTTCATATTTACATAAAATGTTTAATACTTTTTTTAAGTTCAATGTTTCTTACACACTAAAACTAGACTGAACAATAAATTATTATTTTTTTATATATTTAAGTTGATATTTTTCTCCATTTACATTACATTTTGTCTTAAGAATATTATAATGATTAGATCATTATTAATTATTATACAAGTTACATATATATATATATATATATATATGATATGTGATATTGCAACAAAAAAAAAAAAAATCAAGGTTGTGCATCAGCAATATTTAGTTTTTTACAAACGTGCCTTCTTTAGTGGACAAACTGAAATGTTGTTTTCTTGTCTTAAGAGAATAACGTTAAACTTCCATGGGTAGAATAGAATTATGTTTGAAGTCTTTGGAAATACCAGGAAATCATAACTGTGCACTTCTCTCATAAAATATATATTCCTTGCAGGTGCGTGCAAGTGCGATAGCGCAGGATGCAGATCAGAACTACGACTACGCCAGCAACAGTGTGATCTTACACCTGGAGCCCGGAGATGAGATCTACATTAAACTAGATGGAGGCAAAGCCCACGGGGGAAACAACAACAAATACAGCACCTTCTCAGGCTTCATGGTCTACGCCGATTAACACCTGTGGAAGAAACTGCACTCTCAGATGTACCTCGTTCTGACGTCACGGAGGGCACAGAAAAAGTGGAACCCCTCGAGCCTGTGAAGGATGCAGCAACTGATCGTCTGGCTGCGAACAATACGTCTCCAAGCATGTGAACACACACACACACTACACGCACATTAGTTTTTAGAGAAGTCACTGTGATGTAGAAACAAATCTTACAGTGTAACACTGGTGATTGTAGTATATTTATTGAGAGATTAACCGGCAGAAAGCAGAAAATCATCATTCCATTCCATATGTGCGTACCGTACATAGCTGACCCGAAGAGGCTGTTCTAGAAAACACGATATTAGCCCGGAAACAGTTCAGATGGCATTTCTTTAATCACTTCTCATTCTTCGCACACTGAATGTCACATTCAAACCACAATTCTATACTGTTTTATATCAATGTTTTCATTTTAAAATATTACCAATGTCTGGTATGTGCAGTGTCAAACAAATTGTAAATAAAATATATTGTATGATTTGCATGTGTGTATAAATTTCCAATAATACTAAGCATCCCTACATATTTAGTGCAACTACATCAATCATCAACATGAAATTCTATGAATGTCTTTGACTATTTAGAAATGTTTTAACTTTAAAAGGACTAAACTAAATGCTGTTGTAAAACATCCTCGTCTACTGTGTATTCACAAAAGAATTTTAAAAAAGGGAATTAGTTTTGTAAGCATTATACTTATGCAAGAAAAGTCACCAGCAAACAAACAAAAAAAAAAGCTAATTTTAAAGTGCCCCTATTGTGCTAATCAACTTTCATGCAGTGTGTAATATAGCCGTTTGTGCATGTGAAAGGTCTGCAAAGTTTTAAACATTAAAGTGCACCAAATCAAATTATTGTCTCTTAGAAGAAAGAACTGAAAGAACAACTCCCATCTCACTTCCTGTTTTGAACGTACAGGGCTGGAAATGGCTGAGATTTACTGGACACACTGTTGGGATGATTTGTATTATTATTTTATCATTATTCACTCTCAAAGACTTTTCAGATGCATTTAAATGCCTCTCAGTTTAGTTCTTTTAAAGTATTAAACACATTTAAAGGTGAATACAGTTAAGAGAAAGGGAAGTTATAGTGCATTCTAAAATAATTTGGATAATAAAGTCCATAGAATATATAATAATATTGACTTGTGGCGCTTTTCCACTGCATAGTGCGGTACGGTTCGGCTCAGTACGGTTCGATTCGGCGCGGAACAGTTCGAATCGCTTTTCGTTTTCACCGCAGTAGTACCCCTTCAAAGTGTGTGGGACTGATCGTTATTTGCGCGCGCCTCTACTGCCATGACATCATCTTAAAAGCGCCACATTTTCAAACCCACAACACAGGAGCAATGGAGACTATCGAGGGGATGGTGTTCCTGATTCTCGGTATGTGGTTGTTTTTAACTGCTAGACGGAAAAATGTGTTTAAAATGAGGCTGATGGCAGCAAAACAAAAAATGCTAAAAAAGTGTCTCGTGTCGCAAATCCAATGACGCTAGTAGTGACGCAGGGAATGACGATTTTGTCTGACCAATCAGTGATCTGCAGTGTTTCACGTCACATTTTAGTACCGGTATGGTACGCTTGGAACCTCAACAGACCAGGTACCATTTAAAGCGACCTGAAGCGAACCGTACTGTACCGTACCATGCAGTGGAAAAGCACCACAAGTGAGACGTACCGAACCGAACCGTACCGTACTATGCAGTGGAAAAGCGCCTTTGCTGTGAACTTTTTCTTCTAAAGTGTAGGAAACTCAGAAGCGAAGACCAGGAGACTCGGTTGTATCATTTTTAAGCAGGATTCTTTATTGCTGTTGCATTGCTGTAGTCTGCTTTGTCCAAAAATCTTAGCCAAGTCTAACTAAGGGAACTTTACATTGCTGTTGATATACCTTCTTAAGGGGCAGGGGTTACATAGAGGTGGAGACACTCTGAAACAGAGTATGTAAATGAGAGACACGAGAACCGGATGGGCAAAGCTTCCCGCACTGAGACAGGAACCCCAAGACAAAAGGTCTCAGTAATAAAGTAGCAGGTGTTCAAACTTGCTCAGCATGAGTCTTCACTCGGTGAGACACGTGAACAGGAAAGGCATGGCCTTCTCGTACTGAGACGGGAACTTACAAACACAAGGTGAGGTTATAGGCTTAGTTAAAAAAAAAAAAAATCACACTAATAAACTTCTATATACTATAGTATGGGAACTCTAAATTAAAACTGTTAATACATTTGTAAATCTACACACTCATCCCTTTTCTTAAACAATGGCTCAAATTTGATGTAAATCATTTTAAAAAAGCTTTTTGTTTTGAGAATGTTACCATAGACTGCTACCTAAACATTTAGTTCTGTAATATAAGAATTCTCTGAAACAATTTTAACTGCTGATTCTAATTTTATTTTTCTCCAGAATTTAAAGTATCTTATTAATGAGTAAATCTCCCCTCTTCATCACACCACATTTTTACTCAGAGCTACAAGATTCTGGAAATTGAGAATAACGTTTTAAATAGAGATCACAATTCTTAATAGACAATTAAGCATAATATGTAATTTACAGAGATTACGAGAAAATGTTAGTTGCTGCAGTCTATATAAAACGTATAATCAATTTTTATGAATCGTCATTAAAAAAAAATCAGTTTGAGTGAACGATTCAATAACTCACTCATAAAGACACCACTTGTTTCATTACTGGATGAATCCGTGATTTAACAAATCAATTGTCGCCACCTACTGGTGTAACGATGTAATTCATACAATCTTTATTTGAAGCATCAAGTTACTTTCAAAAGGTGATTTACTCTATTTTGATCGCTTCTATAGACGTCAGTGTTTCTGTAATAATTTGAATTACTGTAACATAGAAATAATGATACTGTGGACTGTTTGTGAAGCCGTTTCACATCTGACTATACATGACAACGGCTCTCTCTTGCTCAGCGTTTGAATGTTCGTTGTGATAGTACTCGTCAAAGGTTTAAAAGCCAGAGCCAAATCTACTGTAGGAGAAATATCGAGTGGGTCTTTGAATCGAGATTGTGATCTTTCAATGATTAATCGTGCAGTTTCAATGCGCTACGTTTTTGTGCTGAATTCGTATCCCCTTTCGTAGGCTATGAGAGAGTAAAAGATAGAAATCTCTGTCATTTCCATTGCCAATTCCATCGCCAATTTGTACTGGAATGGCAACCCATCAATGCCATCTGACCAATCAAAGCAAAGCAGACCAATCACAACAGGCTGGAACATCTGACCAATCAGAGCAGAATAGACGAATCAAAACAGACTGGGCCATCTGACCAATCAGAGCAGAGTAGACCAATCATAACAGACTGGATCATCTGACCAATCAGAGCAGAGAAAGCTCTTGAAAAGAAGGAGTAGAGAGAATGAATCGTCGAATGAACCACTTTCGGACTCTTTAAGAAATGAGGTGATGTGAGTGTTTTCTGATATTTGATGAATGTAAATCTATCGTAGGAGGCCTCCAAAACAAAATGAGTAACCTTTAAAATAGCATAATAGGAGCACTTTCATTTGAAATGGAAGGAAACGGGATAAGATGTTTTGATATGCCGTCGTCATCTAATTAGAACGTTATGGATGACACACACGGCATGATTTTTTTAACATTACCTTGTTGTTACATAGGAACAGAACAACTGACAGTGTCATTATTTTACTAGAGGAGTCACTGTGAGCGGCCACCTGCTCCATAGGAGTTATGTTTAGACATAACTGACTTATAATCTACAACATACTTCAGTTGTTGTAAAGGGGCATCTTTACATTCAGTGTGATATTGCCATTAATTGTTTGAGACGTTTTCAGCTACACAATATAAGAATATAACAAAGTAAGCTCATTTAATTATTACTCTGATTGCACCAGTACCGTTCCTTCTCTGCTCATACCACACTTTCATTGTTTCATTGTGATTCCCTGAGTTTAATTATTAGTCTAATTACTTAATAGTATTTTCTTTGGTAGTTCAGCAAAGAAAACAAAGCACATATTTTCTATGACTCAGAGCCATGTTTTTATTTTAACCACTTTTTTTGTGCAGAGAGAACTTTAATTATTGAAGCCTGGTGAATCATTGAAGACCTCTTGAGTCTAGTTAGTGTTAAACCTAACTGTGATCTATGGGTCCCAACTTTGACATCTTATGTAGATTAACATTCACCAAGTATGGAATTTAGCACCAAAATCAATTGGACAACAAAGTTCTTAACAATTAAAGGTATGTTAGCTCGAAGTAAATCTTCTTTTAAAGGGTTAGTTCACCCAAAAATGAAAATTAAGTCATTAATTACTCACCCCCATGCTGTACCAACCCCGTAAGACCTTCGTTTGTCTTCGGAACACAAATGAAGATATTTTTGATTAAATTTGAGAGCTGTATAACTACCACATTGGCTCCTAAAGGACTGCCTCTTGACGGCCCAGAAAGTCAATGAAGAAAATGTTTAAATATCCCAAGTGACTACCGTGGCTCAACTATATGTTTATCAAGCGACGCGAATACTTTTTGTGCGAAAAAACAAACAAAAATAACAAGTTTATTCGACTATTTCTTTTCTTCCTTGTAGGCCAGAACGAGACTTCCTTAGATTTCCACGACGCATGCGCGAGAATTGCGATCTGAAGTAGTGCAAGCGGGTGTGAGCTGATCGCAAATCTCGCGCATGCGTCGTGGAAATCTAAGGAAGTCTCGTTCTGGCCTACAAGGAAGAAAAGAAATAGTCGAATAAACTCGTTATTTTTGTTTGTTTTTTCGCACAAAAAGTATTCGCGTCGCTTGATAAACATATAGTTGAGCCACGGTAGTCACTTGGGATATTTAAACATTTTCTTCATTGACTTTCTGGGCCGTCAAGAGGCAGTCCTTTAGGAGCCAATGTGGTAGTTATACAGCTCTCAAATTTAATCAAAAATATCTTCATTTGTGTTCCGAAGACGAACGAAGGTCTTACAGGGTTGGTACAGCATGGGGGTGAGTAATTAATGACTTAATTTTCATTTTTGGGTGAACTAACCCTTTAAGGCAGTTGATTTATTTAAATGTCAGCCAGTGTTTAGGATTCTCAATCAGTATTTTGTCCACCTGGTTCTGAGTGATTCCTCGAGACAACATTTTGGGAACAATATTCTTCAGGATGTGGGAGAAGCCATGACCGCCATACTTGGTCAGTCGGTGCTTGGTGTGGATATCATGGGCGATGAGGATTCGGTCTTCATAACCCTCCTTGATCAGAAAGGCTAAGCTGGTGGAACAAGACAAAATGACTCTCAATGATCTGTTGACAGTATATAAAATGGATAGTCTCATTAAATTTGTGCATTAATGTTTAAAGAAACACAGGGTTGCCATGTTTGGTTTGATTAAAACGAACCCCGGTGTGATTGCTCTGTTAGTGCGGTTCATTTGAATAAGTGTGAGAACGCTGCCATATGAACGCTGGTGCCACCAAACAAGCAGATCGAGACCTCTGAAAAGATGGTCTGGACTAAACGAACCAAGCGAATTGAACTACAAGTGTAAACACACCCACAATCATGTACTGTACTGATTACCAGAAAAAGAAAACAAGGCAGATGTTTATGACCCATCTAATGTAATGCCTGCGTGCTTGTTGGAGGCAGATACTTACTTCTGAACTCTCTGGCTGTCGCTGGGCATGTCAACACGAAGGTTGAATGGGTAATTCAGCATCTCTGTG